GGGGGGGGGGGGGGGGGGGGGGGGGGGGGGGGGGGGGGGGGGGGGGGGGGGGGGGGGGGGGGGGGGGGGGGGGGGGGGGGGGGGGGGGGGGATGGCTTGTTTTACAACGTCATTGCTAAGCTACGAAAACCCAACCCTGATGGCAAACACCGTAATGGGGGAGGGGAAAACTCTACTGGGGAGGGGAAACTCCGACGTTTACGGTATGTCTACTTGACTTTCCTCCTGCCGCTGCCGGCTATGAAGCACATAAGTTGGCCAAGTACAAACTTGTGTACTGTAGTTGTTTTCAACACGTCCTCGACAGCTGTATATCTCATTTCAAGTGTTGTAAATATGTTTGACGTCAACAAACGGTTGCCAGTCGTCTCGGCGATGCTGACTTTTCGTACCACACCCTTCCTCAGCAAAAGACGCGTAGCTTGAGGTATAGCATGCCTCCATTGGCCCCGGGGATGGTGAGCTATCGTTCCCTGAATTTTAAGGACGCAACACCGCGTGAAGGACGCTTTTTTTTAGAAGAACAATGTGCGTCCTTAAAGCGGGGTCCACTGTACGGTCTTCCTGGGTCTTCCTGGGACGTTTCCACGCACCTTCATCACGACATCACAGGCTCACTTAGGTCACGCGGTTGTGAATGTTGATCGCTGCGAAGCATTCGGAGGCACCTCTGCTCTAATCGCTTCAATGATTCCCGGGTAGGCTGATACGGCGAGATGTAGCGTAATGCGTGCACCGAGTGAGTCCATTATTCCTAGCGGTCCATTTTTCTTACCGTTAAAATATTGGTCGCTCGAAATAGAAGCTCACAAATGACCCATCACACATCAATCGAACGCAACTCCCAGCGTAAGCCAGTCGCCATTGAGCCCCGCAATACCCAGCATAAAAAGAAACGGTATTATCTCCAAAACAAGTTGTCGTGATCGTCGCATGACGATGAATGATCGACTGGGGAGTGGGGCTGGGCGGGTAGGTGGTGTGGATGGTGCGCGCGGCGTGTTTAATATTTCAAAAATTAAAGCAGATTTTCGTGAAGTGATAAGTCAACGAGCAACAAATGCATGTACAAATGAATTGTTGAGTTTATGATACGTGTTTATGCTCTCTTTCGGACACACACAAGGTTGTTTGTATCTTGCAGTGCCGCATGGAGCCCTGTGGGGTATCTCATGGGCTGTTGTTGAAAATGGTGCTTGAACGGTCGTTCGGAGCAATGTAGCTACGATACAGGCTGGTTCGAGGAAATGGATACAAGAACATTCAACATGAAAACTTCAGGCCATTTTTAGGAGGTAGACTTTAAACTTGCACACAGGTACATTGGGTTAGTACGGAACGCTGTGTGGGGGGGCCTTTTTAATTTTTTCTCCCTATCGCCGGATCTTCGGAATGCTAGAGTTTTTGTGGCCATGCGTTGCTCGTGGGACCCCGAATATCCGGTGACCAGGGAATAAAATTAAAATGCCCCACCGCATAGCGTTTCGCACCAACTCAACGTACATGAATGCAAAGTTTCAAAGTCTAACTCCTAAAAACGGCGTGAAGTTGTTTAACTGTTGTGTCATGAAGTATTCGCCATCCTGATTTTCCCCCAAACTACTTGGTATTTGTAGAGAATCAGGTCCGCGGGCCCCTTGCTCACTGCAAAGCCCCGTACTGCGCCGATTTATCAGGTGGTCTACAAAACGTTCTGGTAAGGATCATTGAATTCTCGCGCAGAGAGAAAAAAGTGGTGTTCATATATTTGGAACCGGCTTTCGGGGGTCCACACCGGGGACCCCAATACGCCCATCAGCAGTGCAACTATTGTCTCATTTCTGTTTTACGGTTTGCGCAACTTTGGTGCACCATGCTATCAAAATGTGAGGATGACTCAACATTTCCTTGGATACATGCGAGGCAAACCAACACGAGACTCTACGTAGTCATCCCAGTATTCTATCCGTCCGTGGAAATTGACGACGCCAATTCTTGGCCGGTGAACCACGATTTTGGGCATAACTCGCTTCCACAATGACCTTTTTTTTATTTACTTTTGTTCTTTTAGGTCCCCCAGAGTATAGGAATTTCTTTGGTTGCAAATCTGTGTTAGCAAGGGGTGGGAAATGCGGGGTTGCATGCACTATTGGTTTAATAGCATGTTTGAGGCTTCTGATTGTAATTCCGGCCACGGTGATTTGTTCCGTTGCTCATGGGGGTCATTTTGATACACGATATGTCAGTTTTGTGTACATATTCCGTTTGGCAGCGGTGGTTGAACAACGTTGGGTTCATTTCCGTGAACCAGCTTAAAGGCTAGGACGAGGGGCTGGCCAACGTACAAAACTGCAACTATCGCATCATGTCATTTGCGGGGAAACGTTTGTTCTTGGTCACCATGGCTTCGCGCAGGTTAGTGGCACAATCAATCTAGAGTTTCACAAAATATATCCGACATATTGTGTACGGCTGGGGAATGTCTGCTGTATTGCAATTCCTTGGCAGTGAGGGGCTTGCTCGTCGGAGCTTCCATGCGTAGACTAATGATGTAACTGTTGGGAAGAAAAAAAGAAACAAATCAAACAGAGAGCACATCTAGTGGTCGGCTTGTCACGCGTTCCTTGTCGTCCACAAGCACTCACAACAGTTTTAGCACGACGCGTCCGTTGCCAGCCGCCGAGAGACGGAGCTAGAAACGGCGTTAGAGGTGTTCCTGTCTTCGAGAAAACCTACGTTCCGAACGGTCAGCGGCGTGAAGAATCTCGCCGGACCGAGCATGAAAAACGCAATGCGCTCGTTCAACCGAAACGAAGGAGCGGTGTGCGTGTCACACAACAGTCGACCTAGATCTGCACAAAGCACACGATTGACTGCGTACGACATAGATGCGGGGATGACTGTGCTCTTGCAGAACCATTGGCAGTGGAAGGCTTCAGAGTCTGAGCCGCCGACGTGGACTACCGATTTCCCTAATAAACAGGAAAATACGGTTCAACCTTACAGTTGGCAAACTGCTGTATTCGTCGTTCGTGCAAGCACGACACACCGACATGCAACCTCCGCGTGACCTCGGGGGCATTCTCTAATCGCGCAAGGGAACGGGGCCAAGCACGGTCCTGTCGTGTTTGTCATTTCCTCCTGGGTTTCTTGTTTTTGTCGTTCTCTCATGGTTTGCGTTATTCCCTTCTTAGCGCGGGCGTCAAGTACAAGCGACACAGGTGATCGGCGGTCCTCGAGCGTGCGCGGTAACATACCGACGGGACTCCTTCGTGCCCCTCACAAGGAAGCTTGGGAGAAGACTCGCTGCGGCGAACGAGAGACGTGGCGAAGCCCGAAAACCATCGAAATGGCACACGTACATACAGGCTTCGGGGACGTGGTCTCCTGGGAACACATGAGTCAGGACACCAGGCTACCCAACAGCGAGTAGGCTCAAGGTGTTGGTCGTAATAGTCGCATCAAATTCCCATACAAACGCGCTTACCGAAGAGTTGAAGCGTTCGTCCTCCGATGACTGCGAGTCCGCACCCCCTAGCGAATCTTCTCCATCCTCACATGCACCCACCCCTGTGACGCTACTCGTATCCTGTACTTCCGCCATGGACTTCCCAGGCGCACCACAGACGCGGAATGGGGCCTTGCATGAAGAAGTACCCGCGATGCAGCACTCGCTTTCATGGCATATTTTCGCTTCTGAGCTGCCGCTTATTCCCAAGCGCGGTGCCTCTGTGCTTGAATCTTGATGACTCACGGTTATCCCGCTAAAATCACACTCTGACCGTGTAAATTCAGCTTTGACAAAAGGCGAACGTTGGTCGGCGATGGACACGCTGTCTACCACAGCTCCAGTCACCAGGGAACCATATGCAGATACCCCTGTGCGAGCCTGTGGCGAGAATTTTCCGAGCCTTCTCGCATCAACTCCAATGGATGGTCCCGGCACGGTTTCAATCAACCGTTTGGGGGACCAAACTTCACCCCGCCTGGTGGTTGATTGATGCACAATATCTCTCTTAGAGCCGGAGGCGCAACCGGGCATCGTGAATGTGTCACACTCATCATCTGACTCTTTCCCTCGACAATGCCTTGGTTGCGGCATTGATTTCCCCCTCGTTCGTGTCTCCGGAGCAAATAACCTCCCTCGGACCACTATCGATTGTATGTCGTCGTGCATCACGGTCTCGCTCCTCCACGGTGGGCCGTCGTCGTTGGCGCTGCACGACTCCAATTTCACAAACTTGGCGACGATACCCTGTCCAACCTTCCATCTCCGCACGTTGCGCCGTCTTTGCATAATTTCGTCGTCGCTCGTGCATGCACCCGACGGACTCAGCGACGTATTCTCAGGATCGCTTGCTTGGTGCAACATGTCAGAGATCGAGGCCTTGGGAAAGGACCGGCAGGGACGCGGGGGATCTACGTTCGCTATGACGAAAGCACCCTGTTGAATCCAGTCCGGGCCCTCTGTTTCTGCATGGAATATTCGATCCTGCAAGGCCCACAACTTGATCATAGCCGTCCGATTAAAGTCGGTCTTTCCCGTACGATTCAAGAAACAGCCAACAAGATTGGGAAAGCGGGGCGTTCTCTCATACCAACCATCGCCGAAATCTCGTCATTGCTTCGTCCTCAAGAACTTCATCTTCTCACATTGTTGTGCCCTTCAGCACTCTCGTATCACTCACTAGAATGTCATATCCACCGTCAGTGCAAGCGTCCCTCGGCTCACATTGCTTCGCCTTCCCCATGCCAACGGAATCCGGTGCGACCCTGCGAAATCACGCAAGGTACATATGGGTATTTGGCATCAGACTACACATGTGCCGTACACTGTTCTAAAAAAAACACTAGTAAAAAACGCGCGGCCGCACGCACGTATGTAAAGCTGCGTAGTACTCGTTTGTTGAAACCGCCCCCGAAACAACAAAGGTGACACCCATACCTCCGTTGGATATGCATAGGAGGACGGAAAAGACCCGAACAACAAACCTCAAGTGTGCAGAAGCTACTGCTACATGAAACCCGTCTATTGTGCTTGGGCATTTCTTTCTCTCGCGGCAGCTAGTCTTTTCTCGCGCTTGGTTCTGAGGGACGCGCGGGAGGCGTATCGGTACAGCAACACACATGACCGGAGCTCGGCAGGCATCCATGGAGCATGTGCTCCAAGCTCAAAGTCACAAAAATGGTTCCTTTGCATGCGGACGCATGACGCGACGACCAAGCCCGGCGAACGAAATCTATAACCCGTCAAATACGAGATCAAGGAAAAATAGCCGGAACACTCGTTTCAAACAACAGCAAGCCGGATTGAAAGCTGATCACGAAGTACTATGCCACCCACGGTACTATAATACGACTCATCCTCCTTCAAACCTTGCGCCGTCGCGTCCGCTTCGGGGGTATCCGGTTGCTAGAGTTGGAGGTGGAATAGTTTTTTGTGGTGGTTGCACAAAAGTACCTGCAGTAGGCTCGTGTGTCTGTTACAGAAGAACGGAGGACGGTCCATCATCACCACCTACGGAGGGGGGTGGCATCCATCATCATTCGCTAGAGGGGGGATGGTATCCATCATCAGCTAGCGAAAGGGGTGGTATCCATCGTCAGCCGTGAGGGGGGGTGCTATCCATCGTCACCAGCTAGAGAGGGGGGTGGTATCCATCATCATTCGCTAGAGGGGGGGGTGGTGTCCATCATCAGCTAGCGAGGGGGGTGGTATCCATCGTCAGCCGTGAGGGGGGGGTGCTATCATCAGAGGGGGGAGNGAGGGGGGGCTGCTATCATCGAAGGGGGGAGGGGGGGCTATCCATCGTCATCAGCTAGAGTGGAAAAAATATATACGTTTAAAAATTCCCCGGCTTGTGCTGCTGCTGCTGCTGCTTGTTTGAACAGGACGCTTCCGCCACCGCTTTAGATAAAAGCAACAGCAGCAGCAGCAGAGGCGACACACCCTCTCGCCCACAATGAGTGTAGAGAGGTGCACAGCACAGCAGTGGTACGACACCGTCTTGGAACGAAATGATTTTTTACTGGTCCCGTGCTGTGATGTATGTGTGCCTCTCTCCAGAGCAGAGTCAGAGGCCGCTCCCTCCCGCCGCGTCGCAAGACAACAATAACAACCAACCGATGGACCCACAGAGACCCAATCAATATATCTCCTCTCNCCGTCTTGGAACGAAATGATTTTTTACTGGTCCCGTGCTGTGATGTATGTGTGCCTCTCTCCAGAGCAGAGT